GCTGGATCGTTTGGGACCCAAAATAGTGGGCGATGAAATGAACGAGAAGACAATGGTGGAGTTTATGCTCAGGGAAATTGAAGCCGTGCGTGGGGACATGCGACAGGATCTGTACGACATGGAGGTGGATGTGCAACGGGCATCCGGCGCCTATCTGCACTGGGAAATGATCAACATGTATCAGGCCGTGCAAAATGTGGTTGTCAAGCTGAGTGCAAAGAGCTCCAATAGCACATCCTATCTACTCATCAACAGTCACTATGACACCAAACCGGGCAGTGTGGGTAAGTGTGGAGCCGAGTTGCCGCTGTGAGTCACACATCCTTATTGGGCCTGATTTGCTGCAGGTACCGGAGATGCTGGCTTCATGGTTGTCACCATGCTGGAGGTGATGCGGCAATTGGCCACGTCCGAGCAAACGTTCGAGCATCCGATTGTCTTTCTATTCAATGGCGCCGAGGAGCAGCCGCTCCAAGGCTCACATGCGTTCATCTCACAGCACAAATGGTCGCCCAATTGCAAGTGAGTACGGTGTGAGATGTGTGTGTGAGCAGTGGCTAATTAACATTTTTAGGGCGCTGATTAATCTGGATTCCGCCGGAGCTGGTGGTCGTGAGATCCTCTTTCAAGGCGGTCCCAATCACCCTTGGCTAATGCGGGTAAGTTGTGAATTTGAATGGTTATGCTTTTGGTTCGTTCGAAACTCACGTAGACCTTCCGTGGATCTTATCGGGCCTACGATATTGGTTTGATATCAAATTTTTATCAATGTTGCTTATCTGGCTTATCAGCAAGAAAATCTTGTCGCTTTTAACTGATTACAGCACTATAGAGACGCCGCCAAGCATCCGTTTGCAACAACAATGGCCGAGGAGGTATTCCAGGCTGGCATCATACCCTCCGACACGGACTTTCGTATCTTCCGCGATTTTGGACCAGTGCCAGGTGTGTGTGTGTGTGTGTACACGTGCTAAACCCCACTTTCCCCGTTTACAATCCACATTTCTTTTCTCATTAATTAGGTCTGGATATGGCGGGTCAATATAATGGTTTCGTGTACCACACAAAATACGATCGCTTCGATGTGATATCGCGAGATTCTCTGCAGAATACGGGCGAGAATCTGCTGTCCCTGGTGCGTAGTATCGGCAATGCAGAAGAGATGCACGATACTAAGGTACTTTCGCTCAGTTAAACTTTGTCTAAGAAATCTTGATAAGGCTTATCTTTGTTAACTTTAGGCACACTCCGAGGGTCACTCGGTGTTCTTTGATTTCCTGGGCCTGTTCTTTGTCTACTATCTGGAGTCCACAGGCATTGCCCTCAACATATGCTTCGGCCTCGGTGGTATTATTCTGGTGTGCGTGTCCCTGTGGCGCATGACAAGGACCACAGATCTTGGCATTGGATCCGTATCGGGCGCTTTTGGTATTATGTTTCTATTGGAGCTGGCCTCATTTGTGCTAGCCCTTGGCCTGCCAGTACTCATGGCACTGTTCTATGATGCCGGCGATCGCACCTTGACATACTTTGCCAACAGCTGGCTGGTAATCGGACTCTTCATTTGCCCCTCGGTCATTGGCCTGGTGTTGCCCTTTACACTCTACTACACCCTGAGGCCCAGTGTAAGTGCATATAGCCATAGCTTTTGAGAAGCCGCTGTTTACCCCAGGGATTCTTCTTTGTTTTTGCAGAGCAAAGTACCACACACCTATCATCTGCAAATGGCCGGCCACGCCCACTGTGTATTTTTAGCCATTGTGTGCATTATATTGACTATCGCTGGTCTACGCAGCGCCTACCTCTTCATGATCTCCCTGCTCTTTTATGTGGGTGCGCTGACCATCAACTTGCTCAGCAGGCTGCACGATCGCGGTAAGCTCTTTATTTAATACCCCTTTGGAAGTGTGTTTCTCACATTTCGGCTATGGCCATAGGCTACTTTTGGTCGCTTGTGCTATGCGCGTGCCAGGCAATGCCCTTTCTTTACTTCAGCTACTTGTTCCACGCTTTTCTTGTCATTTGCATTCCAATGACGGCGCGTAAGGGCACCGAGGTGAATCCGGATCTGCTAATTGCCCTCTTGTGTGCCTTGGGCTCAATTCTGGCCCTAGGCTTCTTGGTAAGTCAAACAACTTAAGATAGTTATTATCCTCTTTTGGCCAATCAGCCAGGATAAAGATATCTTAAGGATATATAAAAGATTTTCCTACTTACCTGCTCTAACTCTTAGGTTCCACTCATAAATATCTTCCGGCGACCGAATTGTATGATAGGCGGTCTGGCGCTCATAACCTTTATATTCTGTATGATATCCGTTTCGGAGGTGGGTTTTCCTTATCGCCCTAAAACGAATGTGATGCGGGTTAACTTTTTGGTAAGTTAGCTTTTTTTCATATATGCTTACCAGCATTGTGCTTTAAAACCCGGCCCTGATTGCAGCAAGTGCATCGGAAATTCTATGAATATGATGGCTCCATTAGCCTGGAGGATTCTGGCTACTACTTCGACCTACAGGATCGTCGTCTGGAGCTGCCGCTGCGTGACAAAGTGGACTTTGACGGCTTGGTACATCTGGAGGGCGAATGCGATGCCCAAATGATGTGCGGTGTGCCCTGCTTCAATCATCGCTGGTGCGAGGCACGCAAAGCAGCCCGTTGGCTGCCCCGTAAGCAACTTGTCGAAGTGCCCGGCACCACGACCCTGGAACTACAGAACAAGACGATACTAGCTGGCGGCTATACGGCGCGCTATCATTTTAAGCTGACGGGACCCGCACGCATGAGCATATTTCTGAAGCCCTTGGCTGGTGTGAAAATGCAGGACTGGTCCTTTTTGCGAGGCATGCTGGATAATCCTGGCACTTACAAGCCGCCATATCACATATTCTTTGCCTGGGGCGTCGACAACTCGCCCATTGAGTTTCACCTGGACCTGACGGTGCGTATTACTGGATACACTTTCACTTTCACATAAATTAGTTACATGCTCTTTGCAGAAAGTGAATGGCAATTTCCTGGAGCCCGTTTTCGAGATTGGCATCTCCGGACATTATATAAGTCATGTGCACAAGCGGGATGCGTACAGCTTGCAATTTATAGAGGATCTTCCAGATTTTGTGCACGCCATGGAATGGCCAGCCTCCTATGACCGCTATATATATTAATGATAATGATATTAGTATAATAAAATAGTTGAAAGAAAAGTATAAATAAAATTTAAACATTTTATATTGTCTAAGCCCAACCCATCCAATTGTATTTGCTCTTCCTGGCTGCCGGGCCAGCAGCTCTTTGGCGGCAAACAAAGGCCCAAAACTGGGCTAAAGATTAAACAAAAGCCACGCCAGTGGTGCATTTCATAACGTAGTCGGAATAAATATTTAAGATTAAACAGAATTTCTTGCTCTTGTGCGTGACAAACATTTGTGTAAACACAAACCCGACGAACTGTTGTAATAGCTGAAATTGTATGTTTGTGGCATCATCTACATTTCATTCAAGTTTTCCATTTTTCGAGACGTATAAAATGTGTTGCTTTGCGCTATTGGAAGGCACACTTCGATTTGGTTCACACACACGGAAAGATCACAGCAGAAACGAATAAAATGAATTCCCTGGTGGTTCTGTTCGTAGCCATCGCGCTTTTTGCAACGGCAAACGCGCAAACGACGGAGAGCATCACCTCCATCATCAGCGACATCGAGGATTCAATTTCCTCCGACTACTCGCCGATTAGCGACTATTACTCTTCTGACTACTCTTCGTATCCAAGTACCTATGACTACTACTATACCGACTACTATGATGAAGTGACCACCACGAAGCCGTTCAAGCAGCAGTTCCTATCGCTGCTCTTCAACAAGAAAGCTGGATAGAAGTGAGACTCTGCTCAACGCTGCCGCCCAACCCGCCACATCCAGCAATAATTTGTTTCGTTAAAATGTGAAAATATACTACTTAATTAAAAACCAAATAAAATTTAATTTAAAAACAAAAAAACAATTGTACCAATTGTATTGGGGGGAGTGAATGACATTTCCACAGGTGTTGCCCAAGAATGAACCAACCCAATGAGGGCTCATTAACGCCTTTGGTCAGAATTGTTCACCTCTCTATGAGCACGACTACAACAAAGGTCAGCGCCAGACGGACAGAGATCTAGACATGATCATGGTCAGGTGGCGTGGCAACAGTGTCTAGTATAAGTATAGTGATACTCGTCTAATGCTTTTCGGTTTAATGATGATGTTGTTGCCGCCTCCGCTATATACCTGCAACTATGGGTATATCTGCTTGGGAGAGGGTCGGGGGGGACTTTGGCTGCATTGCGCAATTTGATTTCATGTGGCTGTGGCACATCAGAATTTGCAGCTAAAGCTAAAGGTAAATGTCTACAATGTGTGGCTGACAAATTGATTTGAAATGCGAGACGTGTTCTTTGAATGCCACGATACAAGTTTACTTCTCGATAAATATACTCAATCAAAAACTGACCAAAATATTCAGTTACAGCGTTTAGACTACAGTGAAACGCCCAATAGGAAGATTTCTAGCATCTTCTTGAGAAAATAAAAAAACTGAACAAATAAAACATATTTAAAAGAAATTTAAAATACTCAATAATTTTTTTTTTTTGTTGTATCCAAGATTTTGAATTTAAATAATAAAATATAATAAAGAATTTATGGAACTTTTTAAATTTAAATAAATATTAATATTAATAGGTTTTCAAATCAATGAACGTTTAATTTGAAAATCTTTGAATTATTTCTGCAATAAGTCCACAAGTAAGTTAAGAAATCGATGGAAATGTGGAGAAAAGTATTCGAAAATGATTAATTTATCTAAAATAGTTGTTTCTGTTATTTTCAAAAAACAAAATGTATATATATAAGAGAGAACTAACTAATATAAAACAATTCGATTTTAATTCAAAAATTTTTCTTTCAAACCTTAGACAGAAGCTTTTACTGAGGCGCCAAAGCTGTTATGGGCTGTAAACAATTCACTAGACAAATTGCAGATTTAACAACAATTTAGAAACAACAACACGCAAACAATGCACTTGAAGAAGTCGGGGTAGATTTAATCAGTTTTGGCCAGGCTGTGAGTTTGGCTTCTGATCTGTGCATCTTCCAAATGCTAAACACCCATCAATGGCCAAGCTGGAGCTAGAGCCAGAGTCAGAGTCAGAGCCACAGCCAGAGCCGCTCTGCTGCAAGCGTTGCAAGAGGCAGCTGTAAAGTTCAAGCATTCAGCTTGCAGTCAGTACTCGAGTACTCAAAAGCAGCGCGCCACAAGATACAAGATTTTGCTATAAATATTCAAACCTTTGGCGTTGGTGGCCACAGTTTCAAATCGAGACGCTGACAGTTGCCACTCCAGAGCCCAGCACAGGATACAACCAACTAATGCAATACCTTGTAAGTACATACGTTTCATTCAGTTCAATTGGACTAATCCTCTGTCAGCTGCTGACTCTTGCAGCTGTGCTGCTGTGCACAACATATGCACGACCGCAAGGACCTGCCACGGAGCCAATCAAGATAATACGACAGGAGCAGGAGGTCAACTTCGATGGCTCCTACAAGTATGGCTATGAGACCGAAAATGGCATCAATGTGGAGGAGGAGGGCTATCTCAAGAATGCTGGCACCGACAATGCAGGACCGGTGAGTGAAACCCCAAAAATCACACAGCCATTTGGCATTTGCATTTGAAGCTGCAGCTGAAGCTGCCTCACGACATTGCCCCGCGAGGCTGACAAATTGTTCGGGTCATGTAATTAGCTGTGCATCTGTGCATTGTTTTCTGCTCTTTTTCGCTACACTCTTTGCTGGGTCTAAAAGGTCGCTCAGGGCTTCTTCTCCTACACCGCGCCCGATGGCACACCCATACGGATTACCTATGTGGCCGATGAGAACGGCTTCCAGCCGCAGGGCGATCATCTACCCACAGCTCCGCCCATACCACCAGCCATACAGCGGGCCTTGGATTACATAGCCACAGCACCGCCGCCACCCGCTGAGCAGCAGAGCGCCTACACCGCACGCCGGGGCTAAGTACTCTCTCTCTGAGAGCACAGAGAAAGAAATTACGATGGAGCGTGGGGAAAGTGTGGGGTATTGTGAGAGGCGGAGACAACGAAAATTTGCTTGTTAACCAAATTTGTTAAATCAGAAAATTAGAAAACATTCCGCACATGTAAATAAATATGCAAAATGAATAAACTGTGTCTAAACGGAGAGTCTTAAGCTTTTAGCATTGCATTGAGAAAAACGAAAATTAATTGAATTCGTAAACAAATGTAAGGAAATGCGGTAGCTTATGTGACCCAATCAGGTGGACAACTGCACATAGAGATATCCGGTGCGGAATACAAGGCTTATATATGCTGATATATAGGTTATATAATATATTAGCTATTAAAAATATATATAAATGATATATTTAAGTGCTGTTTAGCCAACTAGCAGAGCCTAATGCCAGGCTTAAAGCACCTGCAATCTTGAATATTTCATAATAGAATATTCTTCAAAACAAAAATGCCTTGTTAAGTGTTGCTACAAGATCTTCTAGATCTTCTTTCTACAGTCTTCTAGATCTTCGATCTACAATATTTTCTAAAAAAAACTTTAAAGGCATGTTTGTGGAGCTCTTTTGCAGCTTCTACAGTACCTAACATAAATTTTGCATAATCTGCCATATAAATATAAAAAAATAAATATAGATCAATTAAGATATCGCTAAAATTACCTGATTTTCATTTCTCTTTCGAACCCAAAATGAATTATTCTTCGTCTTCACACAGCATACTTTCAGGCATTCGAGTAAACCACCCAAGCAACTGGTTTTATGTGTTCGGTGGTGCTCATCCAGTGGAGATGTTGCTCCATATGTCGTCACCTTGCATTACCTTGCAATGCTCGCCAAAATTAGTTGATGTCAAAAGAAATGTTAGCGTTTCCGTGTCGTCGATGTCAAGCACAAAATTAATTGAATCGATTGCCATCAGAAGAATGGTCTATTCGTTTATTCATACAGCGTGTTGGGTGGCAGCTGCTTTCCAGAAAATATGTAGTAAACGCCTCATAAATCACGGTTAATAGATCGAGTTTTGAGCGCTTTGCAAATGTTGTCCGTTGAGCTTCAAGCTGGCCAGTTGGCCATAGCACACATAGAACGAGTGGATCTTCCGTAGGCCTGGTGGGCGTTGTGCATCGCTCATATATAAAGCTCTGGTCGTGGCTAAAACCGCTCATTGCTGATTAACCATGTTGTTGCGTCTAACGGTAAGTTTTCCAGCTGCTGCTGCAGTTGGTCTGCAGTCATCTGATCACGCCTCTCGCCTCCTATAGATTTGGCTGCTGATCTGCGCTGCAGTTGCGCTGGCCCAGAACGATGGTCGCTATCGTCCTGCGCCAACCACACCGGCCGTGCTAAGGGCGAGAGCTAGTGCCAATGCCAATGCGGGGCGCTATACGGGCGCCAGCGATGGACGCTATGTGGCCGGCAATGATGGACGCTATCGCGGCGGCGGCGATGGACGCTACAGTGGCGGCAACGATGGGCGTTATGTGCACAAGGATGTCAAGTACCAGCATGATAATCGTCCTGGTGGTGACTACACGGGCGACAGCAATCCCTATGTGGCTGATAAGAACAAGTTCGGTGCTGGCGGCGGTGCTGGACGTGGCGGTGGTGGAGCTGGTACCAATGGAGCTAGGGGCAGTGGAGCTGGTGCTGGTGCTGGTGCGACAACTGCTGCTAATAAGCCACGCCCAAGTACGTCGCTGCCACGCCCAACACCTGCCGTTGATCTGCGACCCAACTTGCCACAAGGGCGCGGCACTGGCATTGGCAAAAATGGTTTCCTGATTCTGCGTCAGGAGGGCGAAGTGCAGGCCGATGGCTACAACTATCTGTAAGTGAATATATGGCTGAGAGGCCTGAGAGTCCTGCGATATTAAACTGAATTCCTGTGCCAGCTACGAGACGGAGAACGGTATTCTCGGCGAGGAGAGTGGACGCATTGAGAAGCAAACCGAGGGCGATGCTCTGCGCTCCAAGGGCTACTACGAGTACACCGGGGACGATGGCCTGCTCTACCGCGTGGACTATGTGGCCGATGAGAATGGCTTTCTGCCCGCCGGCGAACACATTCCCAAGGTGCCGGAGCACATACCCCGGCTGCTGGCCTATCTGAAGGAGCAGGGCGCTTTGTAAATATATATAGAAATCTATTTAATTTGTCATTTTGGTTATCAGGAAATAAAAGAGTTTTCGAAAAAAAAAAGTTAACTGAATATTTAGTGGATAATATGCCAAGGAGTACCAAATTATGCTCAAATATATGTAAATATGAAAGCATTTGGATCTTGGGGAGAACTAGGTCTTCAAAATATATTGTAAGACGATGAACAAAAAAAGAAACTCTCAGTTGCAAATAGTCCATAGTTATAGACTAACTAACTTATTTTTAAATAGCACTGGCCACTTAAGCGCTTGGCCTAGACAAGTCAGCGATTATATTCCAGATTCTCATTGCTCAGAGTTATACAAGATATACATACAAGGATTCGTTTGGCAAATATATTTTGTTTTTAATAAAAATTTCAATTAAGATTAGTTCAGGTTCGGCAAGATCTGCTGTTGTATGTACTCCAGCACCTCATTAATGGTTGACTGCACTTTGGCGGGCTACAATAAAGACAAGTTTATCAAACTGGCTCTAAGCTTTGACACTTTAGCTGACTTACATCCTGCTCGGTATTGATCTTTGTATCCCCGTACTGCCCTGGATAGGGCTGCTGTTGGTCAGAGTTTTGATCTGGCAGCGGAGTTTGGGGCTGCGCATACTCATAGGACTGAGCGGGTTGATAGTGTGCTTGAGAGTCAGTATCCCAGAGCCGGTTCTCGTTCACGTAGCTGAATTGGCGCTGGTCCTCGCTTGTGCCATCGCCATCGCGCACCCATTCGAATTGAATAATTTGCCAGCCGGTGCCATTGTAGTTGAAGTCAATCATGAAGCGCAGATGATCTCGTGGTCCCAGAGCAAAGTTCTCCTGGGCCTCCTGTACACTGGCCGCCAGCTGCCGCTCGGCCTGCCGAAAGATGCCGCGCAAATCATTCGCATACGGTTGGCCGCGATCTCCGTAGCCGCCATCATAGGGCCTGGGATCGTGCCGATATTTGCCGCTGTCATCCGGCTGATACCAGCCGGCAGAGCCATGCAGCTCGTGGACATAGTGTCCCGGCTTGGATGCTGCTGTGGGCAGTGGCGGCTGCTGATCCTCGCCAGTTCCTTGTGCCCTGCCCAGGCTTAACAGGAGAAAGGCGATGAACACAGTTGTGTACATCTCGACTAGTTGAATGCGTTTAACTGTAGCTAATCAAATCACTAGCCAGGTTAGTTTTAGTTTCAATTGCACTTGAAGTGGGCATCGACTGGCAGCTAATTAATTGCCTGGTTTTATGTGGAAGATGCAGCCGTTTAATTATTTAATTAGCTAGTTTATTCGGTGGTTTGGTGCGACTGATTGCTGCACGAGCCACCGGCTTGACTCTAGCGTAACGCATGCTAATTGAAATTCTTTGCATACTAACAAGCCATAAAGTGGCTACCGAGTAATCCCAATCGCCAAGCCAAGTAACCCAACTCGTTTTCATAGGCAGCTCCCAATTGCTTCTGACCTTTTGAACGCCGGCGACAAAAATATCTCAAATCGGAAACCAGTGTCGACAGCTGTCACAGTCGCACCGGGTAATCCGATGAGCCTCAGTCTTGTTTCAGTGCTAGAAATTTCGAAATATTTGTAGCAAAAGCTAAAACATTTTAGCTTCCGATTGGAAAAATAAATCAGAAAATTCATTTCTCAAAATAAGTAAGACAATCCTAATAGTTCCTTGTCAAATTCTGCTCTAAATATTCTGCAGAAATTAGTTGTTATTTAAAACAAGTTGAAGTTGTCTATAAATATGCATTCAATAATTACTTAGAAAAGCTAGAACTTTCCTCAAATTAAGTTGCTTACAATATAAATTCCACAACGATCAACTGCACTTTAACCAGCTGCCACACCCAATGGATATTTCTAATCGCCTTATCATTGCAACTGTCGGAAGCTTGAAATTTTTGTCTGGTCGGGGGCAATTTGTAAGCAATTCAATGGATTTGATAGGATCCAAGTTAATTAGTGTCGTTTAAATCAAATTTAACGCTCATCATAAACAATAAAACGATCGTTTGCCTTAATGGGCATTCATAATAACTGACGATCAATCAAAACGGACGCCAAGCACTCATCAATCATCAATCATCAGTCATCAGTCAGCTGTCAGCAATGGGCATTCAAACATGATGGGAGCAAGTCAAAACACGCTCAGACTTAAAAAGAATGTTTGAACCGTGTGTGAAATTGAAAGTGAAAACGCCCACAAAGCTAAGCAAAAATCTTAAGTCTGAACTTCGCAAATAAACTTTAACCTTTTACCTTGCAGCCGGACATGAGTCAAAGAGAAATTAGTCATCTCCAAATACGTAGGAGCGTAAGTTAACAAACTTGGTAGCTGCTGTTAGCTCTGACATTTAACCTTTTACCTTGCAGAGTGTATAACAAAAATGAGCAAAAATAAAAAAACAAATCAAGAACATAAAATACCTTGAAAAGTTCTTAATATGAGACGTAAACAAGGCCTAAGACAATCAAATGTATTTTGACGTTTTTGTCAGATTATCAAATTGAAAGCTGCGACAATTTTTTGGTTTTTTTGTCAATTTCCAAAAGCTGGTCTGCAAAAATTAATATTTTGTTAAAGATAATTAAACGCGCTTCGTCCAGAACCGACTAAAACAATAATAAAACAAGATACAAGCTAGATTAATAACCAGTTGTTTTAGTTGCTACATATGCAAATTTTTGCACCTGGAATACTTGTCAAATACTCACCTAATATGAAACACATACAGGTAAAACAGAGATATAATATTTTGGCTGCGCTAAGCCCAACAATGCGTAATTTGGTGTTTCGCATGCACTCAGCTGACTCCAACAGCTGCTCCCGCCCCCTCGCCAAAAATTATCATGAACGAAAAACTGAATCTGTCGCCACATTTATTTTATTTTAATTTTGTGGTGGCGCCCATGGGCCTAGACGATTAAATTTTAGGCGTCACGAATTTAACCCTTGGTCGTATAAAAACAATAAAAACAAATCTCAACCTTGAACTTAAATTTACTTGTTTTTTTTAAATTCCTTTAGGCTGAGTGCGCAACTAATAAATTTCTGTTTAAAACAAACACAACAACATTCATCTTCTTTTTTACACAGACTGTGATTTTATTCAGATGGTAATTTTCTCTCATAAAATAAGCCGATAAAGTAAAAGACGAGATATAGCATTAATATTTAATTTAACACCAACTGATAAAAATCACGCCCAAGCTGAAAGCTCTAGAAATTTACGAGTCTAACTGCGTATGGGATCTTTGATCGGTGCTTTGAACTTTACGGTATTTTCTACGCCCACTGATATTTGTATATAAAAATATATTAATATATATATGTATGTATAAGGTGAGCTTGTATCTCATTAAGACTCAGATTATTTGGTAATTTGTTGTATTGTTCCAAATGCAGTTCGTATGACGCCTTTGGCAAAATTTACAGTGCATTTTGTATTTTCTAAATTAATTTGTTCGCAAAAACAAATGTTAACTGCAAACAGCTACAAATCATTTGATTTAATTGATTCCATTAAAGGTACATACACTGAGTGCTACCCAAAGCCATCCATCTATTTGGCAAATCGGCTACCAATTCATTGACGGTTGCAAAACTCGCTTCAACTGAGAATATTTATAGGCCACAAGCTCTACAAATTATTTTGAATATAGAGCGAGATGATAATTAAGCAAACTTCACTTAAGTTAATTTTTGAAACCGGCTGCTAAAACAAATCCGACTGACAGCCAGACAGATATACTGAAATCGTATAAGGCCACGCGGAGAGTAATGGCAATTTATGGCCCAAACTCTATGCTCAATACTCACCCTATAAAGATTTCAATTGCTTAACAAATGCCATTTGAAAGCAGGTGAAAATACGCGTTTATCATAAGTGTTTGGAGAGGTGTCGAAAACGGGAATCAGATCCAATGTGAGTGCTGACATTATTATAAATGTGCTGTGGAGGCAGCACGACCGAATGCCAGCTTAAGAAATCGAAGAATTATGTATTTGATAAGAAGCATTCATAAATTGAGTTCACAAAGAAATATTCAACAAACAAATTTATGAGAGTTTTTGGCAATACTTTTGTTTGATTTTAATCAAATATTTCTGCTTATATAATATATAAAATTCCATAGTATATATGGTAGAATATAGTTTGAAATATAAAATGTAGCTCCATAAATGGTGTAGAAAGAACAGGCAGTACGAAAAGTACTTGGCACTGAGATACTCTGAACTCAAGGTTTTAAATCTTGTAGTCGATAATCTAACATACGATCACACCTATAAAGCAACAGATATATAATCTATATACTACATCAACATCTCCCAGTTTTCAAACCCTACAAACCTTTGGTTAAACGAAACTTCCATAGAGTCATTTTAATTGCTTGAGATTAAAGCCGCAAACGTATATATAAATTTGTATGTCATGAGTGATTAAGTTTCAAACAATAAGTCACAGAGGAGAAAAAAAAACGGAAATAAAATAATAACCGACCGGACGCTTAGTCATGCAGTGTAAGAATGCGTGATATGCTCAAGCCGAATACCACACAGCTATGTAGTTCGTGTTGTGACTTCTTGCTGGAAACTCGTACTTACACCTAAACGAGCCAAGTGCATTCTTATCACTGGCCTAGCGTATGATGGGCCGTACTCTCACACTGTTCTCGGGCATCACTGTACTTGCAGTTGTGTGCAACAGTTGCGCCGCAGCCGAGATACTCGAGTGCTATGAGTGCTTCGAGGGAGCGGGAGCAAATATGGAGAAACCGCTTCCGGTATGCTCACAGCTGAGAAACAGTCCGGAATTCAGGGTGGCCTGTCCCAATTCCACAATGTGCCTGAAGACAGTGAGCACAATTAACTTACAAGATGGATCGAAATGGTCGGCTGTTCTCCGAGGCTGCGCAAACCAAGTGAAGATAACGCATGTGCTTCGCAATAGATTTTATGAGGAAGTCGCAGTCATAGATGAGCCCTATAAAGATGGCTGCATTGAGAAGAAAGATCACAATATGCTAACATCAACGGTCCAGCAATGTTATTGCCGGGGCAATCTGTGCAATTCGGCGACTTATCGCGACCTCAACATTCCCATTCAAATGATATATATAATATTGTTGTTGCGCCACTTGCGACAACTGAGTGGGATTTGAATGCTCTCAGTCAGATTATATAGAATTAACCAGTCGACTATGTAGCAGATTATTAGTATAACAGGAAAGTCTCTTTAATTAACAATAAGTATCCATAAGAACTTGAATAAATATATAGATAATAAAAACAATTCCGGTTGCATACCAAATCTACTCATTAAGTAGCTTAAAAAAGATTATAGAATATGAAATTGAATAAAAGCTTTGAATGTATCTGCTACAGCTGGCCAGATTATGAAGAAAGTGTGAAATGCTTTTAGCCAAAATGCGAATCAAGGTCAATGGCAAGTCTGAGTCAGCGGGAAGCCATATAAATTCAATTGAAATTGCATTGCTGATGCCCAATCGAATTGGACTTGTAATTGATTAAAAATCAGCATACACTTAAATATTTATTAAGTATTTGTGATTTTTATAAATGCCATAATTATACCTACTATACATACTCTACCAGAGTGAATCAAAAGTCAAAAAACAGCAGCAACCGCAACAACAACAACAACAACAACAGCCACGCGACGTGATTCACAGTGCGAGGGATTTGGAGATTTGGCACTTGGAGTTCGGGCACGGAACGGAACGGAACCGAATGGATCGGATCAATTTGGCCTGGCATGCGGGTTCAGTGTACGACCTTTGCAGTGCAGTGACTGCAACGCCCCTGCGTTGCCCTGCCCCTGCCTTGCCCCACCTCGGCCCAACTCTTTTCGCTTTCGTCTACTCAGGATCGTTGCCGGCTGTTTAATCACAGTTTATGTTTATTGTTGCAATTAATCCGCATAATAAAAGATATGCTTAGCTTAACTGCAGCTGCGGCCGACTTTTTGGATAGCTTACCAGTTAAAACCTTATTCGAAAAATAAAAAATCCGTTAAGTTAAGCTAAGGACACACATCCGAGCATCGTGGAGTCGATGTCAATGTTTGCAACACAATTAAAATCAATTTTGTCAACATTTTTCTTCCACGTCTGTCGCCGATTTTGATTCCGATTCCGATTTTGATTCCGGTTATGCATACGCATACGCATACCCATATGTTGGGGGCACCAAGCCCCAGTCCCCAGTCCCCAATCCCCAATCCCCAGTACCCAGTCCCAATCTCAGTTACCAGCTTGAATAAAATTAATGCATTTCGCATTGCGGCAGGCGCGCGCAATTTGAATGCTTTTTTTTTGAAGCTGTTGTGCCTCTTATTGTTGTTATTGTTGCCGTGTTGCCGTGTTTCCGTTGTTTTTTTGTAATTTATGATTTCATTACGGCACTTTTATGGCGCTTCCGAGTGCCTCAGGTAGTTGGCTTGGATAAGATCTATAGAAGACGATGACGATGTTGTCATCAGTTCAAGTCCCAAGCTTAAGCTACGCACCAACTGCAACAATGTGATAAAAATATTCAAAATGTGCCGCTTCATTTAATTACGAACAGCTTTAAATGATGGAATGCTGCATATCCTAGAACAATATTTGGCACTGAACAATTTAAAATAACAATAATAATATGTTTATAAATAGATTTCGATTTGTAGTCAAGCTGTTTGAGACCAAAATTAAGGGCCATTAAAATTTGAATAAAAATATGATAATAATACGAAATTTATCTAAAATCGAATTTTAAAAGTGCTGGCACATTATCAAAACAAAATTTATATATACGAAAACAAGAAATCAAGAGATCTTGAATTTTTTCAAATAAACTGAATATCCATAAAAAAAAATAACATGTATTTTAGCTTTAAATAAAAACCATTCATTTTTCTATAGGCAAATTTACTTTAGATATAGATATTTCGTAAGGTTGATTATTAATCCAGACACTCTTGAAAGATTCACAAAAATAACACGCTGAATCAATGAGTATTCATTGTATTCATGAATGTGTAAGCTCTGTAAGGTAATATATGTTGGTTAAGTCTTACAGAAAAGAACATATACTTTGCACATATATATATATAATTATTATATACGTTGTATATATTTATTTTTTCCGTGGCCTGCAGACCGAAGCTGACCTTTGTGTATCAGCAATAAACTTAATATTGATAATGAGTCGCTGCTGGTGCTACTGACACAGTATTCAGATGAAACGGAATGACGTTTTTTTTTTGGGGGGGAAATTTTGGAGCATTTTATAAGAAAAACAAAATGCGTCATTTCGCAGTTCGAAATCCTTGATTTGCTCTTAGATGAAATGTTAAATTATATATCGAGCAAAAGGCACAACCTCTAAATGTTTGATGAATGCCAAAGGTGCATTCGCATTGAATGTAATAAATTATGAGAATTATTTAATTGAATTAATTCGTAATTACAATTATTGGCAAATGAGCAGCCGTTTAATAAAGCTTACAGTTAATTTCAACAAATGCCAAAAATAATCCAAAAACAATATAAAATTATAAAAAATGGAAAAAACGTATAAAAACAATATACAAATTAATAACAACAACAACAACAACAACAACAACAACAGCAACAAGAAGAACCCGTCAT